AATCTGTGGTGACTCGTACTCAGAATTGTATTGATGCTGCAGGTCACCAATTTGAACAGTATTAACATTTGTTATTTATGTTTCATTTACATTGGACTTTCAGCTTTCTATTTTCCTGAAATTTTACTTTGTAGAACGGTAAATAAATTTTCTATGAAAGTTCAAAGTGTGTATACATTTTTTTGAAGCACCCGGTATGTTCAAACTTAAAGTAATTATATATTACTCAAACACAAGCTCCATAACGCTTTCGTCATTTAACTAATATACAAAAATGCCATCAAAGCTTTTGCAAGTCTGCCAACTGCAATAATTCTTTCTAATAGGTTACATGACAAGCAAAGAATACAGAATAAAAGAAGAACAACGAAAGTAAGGAAAAGTCAACGCGAATTTGTAACGGGGCCTTTGTCGTCGACGGCAGCGGGCTTACCATGACACGGTTAAAGCCTTATTTTTGTGTCTGGCCTGCACGCTTGTCAGCCCGCCGTCGCACAAAGCCATGTGAAAATATAGGATCAAAGAGTGCCGCATACAAACCTAACTGTCCTCCTTCAACAGCACACCATTTGCTCGCGCGCCACAACTTTTTTTTTATATTCCATGCGTTGATCATGTTTCACACATGCAATGTCCTTGCTTTGTGTTGTAGTTGATACGACGGCTGCCATCGCCAGATGCATTCTCATTAAAAAAAAATTACACAAAGCTAGTATTGACTGACGCTTTTCGCCAAAATTCGAAATTCATAATTTAAATATTTGACAACGAAAAATAGGATGACTTTAAACAAACATATTATTTTTATACTACGAGATAAATATTTTTATCAATAAAAAAATTATGCAAATACCTTATATCTACTACTAGCTGCCTACGCTTTGCCCGGGTTGATCTATCAATTACTTATCTTAAATATTAAATAGACATAATTTATTTTAAAACTTCATGATTATATGTACACATTTTGTGTCCGCATTTAGACTTGTTAGAGGCCATGCCATCCCCGCGCCGCCTGTCACCATAATAGTTTTTTTTATTTATTTATTTAAGAACACCAACAATACATACACGGACACAATGTAAATTCTAGAATGTGACCGTAGATGGAAAAGCGGAGATCTCCCGCCGGGCAAGGTGTTGTGCCCGGGGAGTGGCCACACTCCGTGTAATAGTTTGGAGATGTTCTATATATGGTGTTTATGATTCGGAATGTTGATAGCGTGATTTAGGCTTCGGTGTATTTCGCTTGTGGCGTGACGACAGCGCCGCTACATCACCCCCCTGCTCAGACCGGAGGTCGATAGTGCAGTCGAGTTGTCGACGAATGTGCAAGTGCCAGGAGATTGCCTTGTAGTCTGCGGTGAGTCGAGAAGAAGGCAAGTAATCTGCGAGAGTGCCGTGAGGCAGAGGCGAGCAGTAAGGCTCAGAGCCGTGCCGAACACTGTATGGCGCAGAGAGTAGCTTGAAGGAACAGGAAGCATTATTATTCCAGTGCTGCGATGAACCTTGTGAAGCTAGCTGGCTTGCAGGATATGAAGACTGCAGACGATATCTGCTCGGGAGCGAATGGGTGGAGTATTTTATGACGATGATGAAGCTTGAAGTTTCCGAAGGTTGTTGGTTACGTGTTCATATCACGTCGGGGTCACCACTGTGACCGTAGATGGAAAAAGCGGAGATCTCCCGCCGGGCAAGGTGTTGTGCCCGGGGAGGTGGCCACACTCCGTGTAATAGTTTGGAGATGTTCTATATATGGTGTTTATGATTCGGAATGTTGATAGCGTGATTTAGGCTTTGGTGTATTTCGCTTGTGGCGTGACGACAGCGCCGCTACAAGAAATAACAGGAAAGTTTATATCTAAGTGTCTTCTTAATTAAAGGTTGCCACGGTATGCAATGTGGGCAACAAATATGTTTCTTGAAACTTACAACTACAAACTTAAAACTAGAACCAAATGTTAGTTAACAGTAAAGGACTGCAAGATGTTTCACTTTGATTTTTTGAGGCCTATCAGCAAAGATATCTACGTCACATGTCTTGCAGAGCTGGTTATATTGCCTACAGAGGCAACTACCTGTTTATGGTGGTATGGTGACCCAAATTAGTTTTACTGCCTTCAACTGAAAAGGGGACGTATCAGCTGACACGCACTAGCTTGAGTGGTACATTAAAATTTATGGAACGAAGTAGATATGGACATCTACGGTTCCGTTGAGGATTTTGTGTAGTAATATGAAACCCAGCAAAAGCCTCCGCTGTCGCAGGCTACTTAATTTAAAATACGTCAATCGGTCTTCGTACGAGGGTAGATCCTTTATTTTGTAGGTTCGGTACGAAAGATGTCACAAAAAGCGCTTCTGGATACGCTCTATGCGTTTCACGTAATTGTTATAAAACGTAAACAAGAACTGGCAACAGTATTCGAGGCTGGAACGGACTAAAGACTTGTACAAGGAAATTATTATATTTAAAGCAGCTAATTTCTTTGTTTACTCACACCTACAAGAACTTAGCGAGATGAACATTCGTTCTGATATACGAGCCCCTGAAGATATTACTAATTAATTACATCATCAACGTATCGCTACCCGATCGCTCCTTACCGAACAATACGAATGATGAAATAAAAAAAAACAATAATTATTGATTTGTCGCGCAAGAATATTCATTTAAAAATACTTACTGTTCGTTACCCTTAGAAGATAGATTTTTTTTCTGGGGGCACGGCAGTGCCCCCGCCAAGTCGAGCAAAAAAGCGGCACGGCCGTACCATCTTTTCTCGAAGCAATTCAGGTCATTTTCGACCCCCTATAACTTCGTGGTCAATAAAACTAGAAGCCTGAATTTTCAGTTACCGAGTAAGCATTGTATAGATATGGTAATCTAATTTATCTATTATCTATTTATCTATTTAGATATGGTAATCGCAATCTAATTTAATATAATACGTATTACTTGTGAGATACATTGTGGTTTCATGCGATGGCCAAGTCAATCTATATATTTAAAACATAAAAGACTTTTAACATTGATATGGTCACTATAAAATGTTGTTAGGTTAGCTAATTACGTAATAACTTAAAACAGAAGGACCCTTAAGTAGGAACTGAATAAATTAACCGACTTGGTATTACATGGATCACACAACTTTTTACGTTAGAAGAACTGAGTTGCGAGACTTGGTTTTTTTTACAAGTTATGTTTTTAATTGCATAGAATATTTACAGGAAAACAATTTAGCCATACGTTATTTTCGTGCACTTTTTACTATTGATGTAGCACACGCCATGAATGCTTTCAAGAGACACGACTGTCTCTTACTTAGTTGACGAATATAAAAAGCCATAATTTATGAATATACACAATATATAGCCTATGTCCATCTGGAATAATGTGCCTTTTAAATTGTGAAAGAATTTTATACACAAACACAAAATTCACATTCTCTATTTATAAAATTAGTAGATACGTATAAATATATACGTTTATACATAAAAGTAAAATGGAAGTGTCTGTCCGATCCGATCGACAATTGTAGTTTCTATTAAGCTTCTCTAGAGCCGTGGTAGCTCAGATGGTTAACGCTCGCTGTAAATATAACAGAACGCGAATAACCCGGGTTCGATCCCCGGCGGCACCAATGAAATTGTTAATTGCAATTTAAGTGCTGATTTACCACGTGCTTGGCGGTGAAGGAAAACTTCGTGAGGATACCTGCATGTCTGAGGAATAAGAAAAAAAATATTTCCAAGACATCAACAATTTCATCAAAATCGGTCGAACCGCTTTTGAGTTTTAGCGACACTAATAGACAACAGTTGATTTTTATATATCATTCCACTCCTAGGGTTGTAATTTTTTTTCACAAGTTATAATGACATCAACCTTGAAAAAAAAAAGAATCATTACAATGTGTTCACAATTGTCGAAAATATCGCGTAACATACAGACACACAAAAACATTTAGTTGAATTTAAGAACCTTCGCCTTTTGAATTCTGCTAATAATGAACTCGGGGGAAAGCGAAACAATACGCATATAGCAATGTGAGAGAATTCATAAGTTCTATAATGCACGTGGTCGATTTTTTAGTCTTTTATTTAATAAAACGTTGCTATATTATGCCTATTCATGTCTCAGGGCCCCTATTTCCGACACAACAAAATACCGGATTCCCCAGCGATACAAAATAAGTTTACGGCGCCCCTTTGTCTGATGCGGTCAGCGTTATCTGTTGGTCTTGGAACACTCAGAGGTGGCTCACGCGTGCATGAGATAAGTTTCGTTTGTCGTATTACGCACGCTCTATTGTTCGCCGACTTACGGGAGATTAGTGGACACATTTATTTTTACGTGACGTAGATGTGCTTACTCCGAAGGATGAATGTAATTGTATTCTAAAGTGATCAAATATTATCTTTTATATATGTTTGTACATTTGTGTGTTTAGGAGGAAAATCGATAGGCTTAGTTAGGTGTTTATACAAAAATATTTGATTAAATCCTCGCTTATTTAAACAGAATTAACAAAAACCACACTGTCCTTTAGGTACTCTAACAAATACTACTCTCTTTCAAAATAATCATATTGAAAATATCATTACATATTTTCAATACGATTATTTTGAAACTAAATGGAAACTATAGGAGTAATGAATATCCTTGAAAATATTTTTTTTTTCAAACTTAGCAGTCAGAATCGATAATTCCGGGCACGCAGTAAATATCTTATTATGTAGTTATAATTTATATTTTAAGCAAATATTTGTACGTGATACTAGGGTCAACTAATTGCTTGAATAGCATTGCGACTATAGTAGTTTCTTTACGACTTTCGTTTCGACTTAGTAGTAACTTTGTATTTATTTTTGGATTGTCATATTATATAATCTTCTTTGTTGTATATTGAGTTTTGAGCAATATCGATTTGCAAGTATTTTAGTCGAATCCTAGTCACGAAGGCGGAGTGAATTAATTGAAACTACTATTGTTGCAGTCGGCATCTGCTCAGGCGGCACTGCAGGCGGCGCAGGTGATATCCAACAGCGCGGGGGCGGCTCTGGTGGCCGGCGCTGCTGCGGCCCTGCAACCTGCGAATGGTGGCACCGAAATACAGGTGTGTATCGTTTTCAGATGGAATCACCTGTCAAGTAACGAGAAGGACGGAAGCGTCCTTTCTTCAAAAAGTCAGAGAGTTACTATTATTAGAGATTGGTGGGCACGAACAGAAGTGACAATTCACGTAGCAATGTTTTTTCAAAGTTGGCCGCAGGTGTCTATGGACTGCAGTTATTATGTCTCTTTAAGTGAACTGAAAGCTCATTCTGCACTTTGATTTTATAAAAATAGACTTTAACAAACATTGTTATTGTCTACGAAAGTCAACAGAAATTAAAATCGTATTGTACGCTGTTAGTTCTACGCAAATGGAAAAAAATAGAACTGAAAATCACCTTCAGCTTATAAGAATAGCTGAAAGATGTCGGCTCATTCGAAATTGTTTTTAAAGAAAAAAGTATTTTAAGTAAGTTTTTTACGTGGTAGAGCCATGCTGCAATTATATTAGTAGTATAGTTGTAGCACGAATGGGTCGGCTCGACCGGGGAAGGACCACGCTCTCACAGAATACCAGCGTGAAATAGTAGCTTAATGCTGCTGTATTTCGTATGGTGAGTGTAGAGAACCGGAGACCCTTTTTTACTGGAAATGAGGCATTCCATCTCAGTCCTCACGGGTGACAACGCATCTGCATTTTGATTTGTAATCAAGGATAGATGTAGATGTCTATGGGCCGCAGCAACCACTTACCATCAGGTGGACTGTGTGCTCGTTTGTCACCCTATTCTATAAAAAAAAAAAGTATATTCTAAATTATTTAAAATCTAAAGTCAGTTTGAAAATTCAGTTAAATTTATTACTTTTTATCTAAATATATTTTAGTTATAATATCATATAATTGCATTTACTCCATATAGACGCACAGACTTAATAGTAAATCTGACCTTAAATATTACGAACTCGTACCACAAATCGGCTTAAGTATCCCCGGCGACTAACCAGAGTAAATAATATACGTAGATGGGTATCTAAGTCAGCCATAAATGCCCACAAGCAACGATTATTATACTAACAAAGACATATATGTTCCATGTGCAATAAAGTTAGCGGATTTTACATGTCCTAGAAACATTATATTCCTCGGGTATTTTTCCATCACCGCCGAGCGTGTGGTAAATCAACACTCAAAATTGCAAAACTGTTTCAAATTGGTGCTGGTAGAGATCTCACACAGGTGTACGGCGAGCGCTCAGCCACTGATCTACCACTATTATGATCTACAGCTATTCCAAGTATAAACTCATTCTTAATATTTACTTTGCGACATGGATCTTTAAACACAAAATTATAATGATATCAAACTTGCGACTAATAAAAGTTATCAACTGCTTAGGACACGTCATAGCCCAAGTTTTCATCTTCAATTCTAATACTGACACGAACCTTGCAGTCAGACAATCTAACATTGAACTACCTTGTTGTCAACAGATATATAAATTTAGTTTTATTTAAGTAAAGGTAATAAACAAGCAGTCGACAGTCAATGTATGCTGTGTCCTATAGACACATACATCTATCCGCGATAATGAATCAAAATGCAGATGCATTTTCTTCCCTGAGAACTGAGATATAATGCCTTGTTACCAGTAAAAAACAAACCCCGGTTATTGTCACTATGCTAATATTTTACGCTAGTATTCTTATGGGAGCGTGGTCGTTCCCCGGTCGAGGCCGACTCCTACGTGCTGCATCTACATTACCCAATAGACCTCTACTACGCATAGAATGCAATAAAGGAATTTTCTATGCATCACGCTCGCTTTAGTATTAGTGTTTTTGATGCGTCAAGCTAACTAAATCGCCTCTGTCATATTACATTACTTATTTTACGATTTTAAGATAGCGAGAGAAATAAAAATAATTTTAACGCTAATGCTTAAATATGCACTATGTAATACTGCATCACTTAGCAGCTGGTGTAATTACAGCGGAATATTAAATTAGTATTAAGACTGCAATTCGCTCGATCTAAATAAGCTAGTTAGGTCATGAGAGGTCAAACATCAAGTAACGTTAAGAAATTATGTGATCCTGAAAGTGAAATATCCCTTTCTGTAACTTTCAATAATAAAACCGCCATCAGTTTACTTGTGAGCCTGTTTAAAAGAGAAGAGTTAAGCGTTTAAATAATAGCACTTATGATAACTTATTTTTCATGTAGAGCAGAGTAATTCAGCTGAACTGAAGTTTAAAGTCCAGCAGATGTCAGCATATACAATACAATCATTTAATAAATCGGTTGTCGGGTATGGGTGTAATGAAATTGTTTCTCTTATAGCTTTCTTTCTATTTTTTAAACTGATGTCACAAACGAACTTACAGTCCTCCTGATGGAAAGTGGCTAAAGTGCTGCAGTCCGTGAACACTTGCAGCCAAATTCAAACGAAGGAGGCTGCAGATGCGTTATCACCTCTGAGGACTAAGATGGAATGTCTCACAACCTGCGATGTGTAATGGCTCTCTATACCCTTCAGAGCGGAGCACATCAATGCAAGCACTACTATTTGCCGGCAGGAATAGGCAAGAAGGTGATAACTACCTAGACGAACTCCTAGGGCAGAAAAGTTGTCCTGCCACCTAGTACTCTGCTTATTTTATCGAATATGGGATCTAAGAAGTTTGAAGGAGCACCTCTCAAATTGTTTTTGTAGTTTTTACTGTTAAAACTATGATTTAGCCTTTAATCTTTCATCTTAACAAAGTTGTCTCTTTATTTAAAAAAAAAACTAAACCATGATTGTTTCTCAAATTACAAAAGAAAACGCCCACGTATTGTGGTTCGGAGTAACATTTTATTTTATTTCCAGGGTGGCCCGAACACGGTGCTCCGTGTAATTATAGAGCACATGCTGTACCCGATTGTACTCGACGTACTCTATTCTATTTTCCAACGGTACGGAAAAGTACTGAAAATCGTCACATTCACTAAAAACAGTAAGTTTTTCTATCTTCTATATTTTAAATGTTTTTACACACTTTACATATTAGTTAACTTGAAAAGAATATTTAAAAGCTGCTTTTACTTCGTGTTTAAGTCGAAAACATTACTTAATCGTGATAATTGGTAATAAAAAATTATATAATTTTAAAAAAAAACACTACCACAAGTACGACGCGCACGGGTTGCATTACCGCGAGTAATATTTTTTTTACTATAAAATTTTTCATTAACCCCAGTACTTAATATAATCTATCGCTATCGATTTAAACTCGAAATAAATCGTCGTGAATAAACCCGTAATGGAAATATTGCGAAATACCTAATCCTTTTATCGTTGCGCTTCGTTTATCCATCCCCCAACGGATTACACTGCGTAAAGCAACTATTAATAAATCGAATGGAGGTGAGCTCTAAAATTAAATTTCTGCCCATACGGGTACGTTATAGTGATAGATTTACCAAATAACACAGGGCCAGAATCCAAGGGCGCAATCCGTTTAAAATTTAAATCGGACCCTCATGCATATTATACTAAATAAATCCCGTGGCAGCCAGGTACGTACGTAGATACATATTTGATAAGCAACAGGGTTCCCGGCGTGGCTACGTACGTCCACTTCCAGCTAATTATAAAATTACTTCAAAAGCCTTAATCAAATCTACACATTTTCGAACCGCCGTATCTAACGTTTTATAAACTCCACTCAATTCTTTTTACATATTAATGTGCACATCCTCACCAAAAGCTTCTAAACAAATGTATTCAGAATGGAAACTGAAGAAGGACCGCTCCGTTTACTGTCTCAATCGAACCCTTGTCAAACAACTGACATTGAATTTACAAAAATACTTATTTATTCAGAAATAGGCGCCTGTTTATATTTATTATGTGCTATTTACCCACCGGGTAAATTTAATCTACTTAAAATAAATAGGAAATTCCATTACTTATCTGTAATGTCAAGGACAATAAAAATACAGAAATATATTTTCTGTATTGTATCCTGGCAAAACGTGCCATGATTTGATGTGTTTAAAGAATCCAAACCCAACCCATTTAGTCCCTAAGGAATGATGAGGGGCAATTATGGAAAATATAAGAAAAATATCACGGCGTCCGACAGCTAACACCGTTACACCATTATATAATAAAGAGATTAAAATATTCAGAATTGCAGCGGAGAACAGTGTCACAGGTGTGAGACATCTGATACTGGATATACAATCGGTTTGGTGTCGGTGTCGGTTTTAAAAACTCCTTATAATGGGAGAGGCCACTGTTATGGGCTAATGATTCTAGCAGTAGGCGATTCTGCTATTCTCTTCCTGGTTTCTTGAAGTATGAAGTGTGTAACAGCAATAGTTTTTTTTGTTTTCTCTCTAAACCTAATTTGAGATATGGCGTTATTAATCGACAAAGTTGGTGTGTTAGCGCAGTTTTGAAATGCTCATAACTTGCCGGTACGCGACGGCACCTCCGTTAATGCAGCATTTCCAATTTCCGAACGTCGCGTCCGACCCTTGCTCTGTTTCCGAAACTGCTGTTTGTTTTTTGCCGCATTTGTCATTGTCCAATTGTAAAAGCTTTTGTCTCTAACAGTCTACCATTATTTACGGACGCCCCCTTTGTTTTAAACTAACTAAACGCCACTTAATTTCAAAAGATTCCATCTTGCAAAACCTTTGTATCATTTACCTGATTACTTTAAAAGGATTCACTTCATTTTCATGTTATTTAGTTAGGATGTCAATTCATTTATCTTTTTATGTATATCAATGGAATATTAAAAATGTCATTTTAAAACATAAAACTGTGCGAAAAAATAGACCATATACCAAAGTATTATCTGTAAACATTCCTTACTGCCAGCAAATATACGAGACTCTCTATTTAAATTATCCGGTCTCGTGGGGACCAAATAAAGCACATGTTTCGTTTTCAATACTTTACTGCATGAAACGAAGATATGCCTAGGGTTAATTAACACGTATTTATTCAGTGTATGATCTTTGAGGATGACGCATTCTTTCTCGCTAAAATATATCTCATACAATTCCCATAAAATTATGTTTGTAGACAGTCGAGTAAAGTGTTTTAACTTTATTGTAATTCGTGCGTATATCAAAATATTCCAGAGATGTTTTACGACGACAACAACATATGTACACGTCGATTATATCTGTTAGGTATTGGGATCCTCTGAACCTTTATCAATCGCGAGTGCAAATAAACTTGCTTTCATGATTTCTAAGATTCAATGTTTTCCCTTTATTAACGTTTACATAATTCGAACGGCGGCGAACGAAAATGCTTTATAACTTTTACCACTTCGAAGTTGTTATCAAATTCGTATTGTATCTCCCTGACGCTTTCATGAGTTTTAGGAAGTTCATCTGATGAATATTCCGGTGTTTTTATCATATTACTGTAATGAAAGCAAAACCGATGAAAATTGTTCGCTTTAATTTAATGCAGTTAATTGACTGCTGAACACAAGGTTAAGCAAACCTTGTGTTCAGCAGTGAATTAATGAAGAGCTATGATGTGACGATAAATCTAATGCAATGATGAAGTGGCACAGATTAAGTTCTTAGTTTTTATACTTTACGTTTAGTTAGCACGCCTAGCCTATCGTATAACGGAAGGTTGGTATTATATGCGTTCCTAATACCGAAACAAATCTCAACGAAGAGCGCGTGTAGTCGCCATAATCCTTCCCGCCCTATCTCGCACCAAACCACCTCTTACCCTCACCCGATTGGCTTTATTAAGGTGTAGCAGACCGCTACAATTATTATGCGTTCCCTGTTTGTGGTAGATGTCGTGTCTATGTCGCCGTAGGATTTCCGTAATTAAGGATTTGATTCGGCGAATGTCGTTCTCTTGCGAGCATTGTATTTATAACTAAGTCTGCTGTTGTATCAAATTTTCTCTGATGAAAAAAAAAAAGTATCTTCAATATACATAATAAATAATAACAACGTTTAAAAATTCTGTCAGTAAGGTCAATAACTAATTAATATTTAATAATTGAGGGGAGGCCTGTGCCCAGCAGTGGGACGTATATTGGCTACTTTTACTAGGTTTACTTTGCTTTCTAAGGTCAATAACGAAAATTTTATATTAGTTATAGTTACATTAAAATTTCAATAATATTTCACATTTAAATATTTAAATTTCAACATTTAAATCGTTCACGTAGCTAAGTTCGATGCTAGTAATGACTGAGCATCGGCATTTGAAAACCCGCGTAATTTGCAAGCCAGGATGCATTCAAGTTCAGCAAAGCACGTTCAATGGAGATGAGACGGTGAAATTTAAGATATCATGATATTATAATGTAATCCGACCCCCGGCGTAGAGACCTCTTTACTGACCATTGAATACTTTTTATTTTATTTTGACCAAAACCCGTCGTACGTATTGCCTTAAATATTTAATATGCTAGTTTTGTGCTTCCTTTAAATTTTTTAATAAATTGATTTTAGTTGCTTGAAATCATTTGAATGTATTCCGCAAAGCCAGACAAAGCAAACAACTTTATTCAATTATGTATCTTTTAAATAATAATATGTTTCCTTTTTTAATATTGTACCAAGGTTTTGAAAATATCATTAATTTTCTATTATTTTAATAGTTGCGTAACTATCACATCTCTCATTGAGAAAAACGTTAACTTCACCTAATAAAAGTATTTAAATAAAAACCTTTTCTCATTTTTGAGAACGTAAGGGGGCGTCCATAAATTACGTGAGATGTTTAAGGGGGGGGAGGAGGTCGAGTAAAATCTCTTCTAATCGTACGTTGGAGAGAGGGGGTGTCTCGGCAAATATCACGCAATTTTTTTTCTGATTGAAAAAAAAAAAATTATACTATTTTGGTCCATATAATCCAGATTGTACATGTATAAGATATAATCTTAAGCTTGTATCGTAACACGATTAACCACTACTGAAATGTCAGTTTACTAAACCAATTAGTTAAACCTATGGTCAAGCCAAAGAGTACAGTAGGTTTCGCCAAAGACAATTTTTTTAATGAAGGAAAATACAACTTAGAGTTATTACCATGTTCTTATCCAAAAATAAAAATTATCAACAATTAAATTATCGAATTATTTGTATGAAGGTCACGTGAGCGCTAGAGAAACGACGATTGTAAGACGTTGTTGATAAATAAAATGTTTATTTAACTTTGCACTAAATTTCTGCAATTTTTTTTCTTTTTACAATAACAATCCAACGCGTTTACGTAGGAAACTCACATTTTAAAAAATCTCACGTGAGATTGGGGGATGGGGGAGGGGGGTTGAATAAAATCTCACGGCATCTCACCAGGAAGGGAGGGAGGGACAGAAAATTTAAAAAAACACCTCACGTAATGTATGGACGCCCCCTAAGAAGCAAACAGTTCGCCCCCTAAGAAGCAAAGTTCGGTATGCTAAACTATTACAGATGATGGATCGTTTAATGTGGCCTCGTAAGACAGTCCATTTTTGAAACAAGCAGGGTTCTTTACAAAAATTTCCTCTTTGAGGCAAATAATTAGTAGTAAAAAATAATAAATTACTATAAATATACGAACCTTAACCTTACCTCATACTTTACTCATAGTAGCTTAGGTACCCACTGTAAAAATTAAGACAAGCACCTAAAGAATTATTTTCTCTTCATATTTGTAAAATATTTGTATTAAAATGTAATTTATCTCTAGCTTATTGAAATATGCATTCTGATATAAAATACTTTTATTAAATTTAATGAATAAGGTGATAATGGCCACTGACGTTATCCTATAACTACAAATTAAATATTTTGTCAAAATAGTGTTTATTACGCTCTACCCGAACCCTTTCAAAAGTGGACATTTAGCGGGAAAGTTATTCGAAAGGGTCGCTACTAAAGCGTACTCTAAACATTCACTACAATCAATAATGGCTTGTTGAAAGTAATATAAAATCCTTTATAGTAAATGATACTATCCTGAACTTCAATGATTTAAAAATTAAATCGTGAATGATCGTTTCCGGTAGAACAAATAAAGAGTTGATTTTAACTAACAATTTTTATTAATAGCTTCCCATTTAAAATCGAGCAAAGATTAATTAGAAAAGAAATATAATTTTAATAGAGTGGACTGGTATCAGTAGTTATATTTTATTAAATAAGCTTATTCATGATATCAATCTATTAAAAATTATAATGTAATAATAAATAATAAGTGGCCACTTCTCTTTCAACAAGCGGGAGCAATAAAAAAAGTTCTGGCAAATTCAATAAACACTCCAGGTAAACTTATAATACTTGTGTTATTAGTAATTAATTTATAATCAGTGGGCTCAAATGGCGAACCTTGGTACACAATTCAAGCTCACAACCTCTATATTTGCGGAACGCACCCTTAACTATAAGAATACTGTCGTTTTACATTTCGCTTTCGTTTAAAGTTGTTATAAGCAATGCATCTCATCTTCTATCTTCTATCATTTCATTTGCTTACGATAATACTCAGACCTTGGGAAATAACGCATATGACCCATATTGCTGACCGCAACCAGATCTACTTCCAATAATTAGCTTAGCATGTCAACTTGTTAAAAGGTAGAGTTATCCACAAGGGTACAACTTCTGGGTCATGGGCATCTTGATTGTTGGAGATTTACCATCGCCATTACATCGCCACGCTTTACGGACGGATTTGTATCGCAGTATCAAGCGTTTCGCGTATCTGATGCTGCACTTGTTCGCCGATCTATTATATCTTGTAAATACGGGATGGTATACCGCTACCTATTGGAGGCCACGAGGTCTTTCTGGTCTTTCCATAGTTAGCTCTTACGACATGTACTGGACTAGACGGACTAGGGCTAGGGTGATTGGATTCTCTGCCGCCGCGTCCAACCAAATTATAATTCGTCAAGTTAAAGTAATCTTATTCAATTTCAATGTCTCTTATTAATTGACGTTAAAGATCATATATATATACCTTCCAATTAGATTTTAAGAAAGGTATTACGAAACATAAAACAATATAATAAATTAATTTTAATTCTATATATCCAATTTCCAACAAGCATTTTACGCCATCCATTCCATTCTGAAATGGCCAGCCTAAAGAAAATATGGGCCTTAAAGAGCATTTAACTATGTATGAAGGAGACAGCGCGTTACTTTTAATTTAGGTCGACGTTTCTTACCTTGAGTGGCTGGGGTACTTTCTATATTTTATAAGCGTAAGGAAATTGTTAAAGGGGCGAAAACAGCTAATAAGTACTTATGTACTCCAAGGTGTGCTAACGGCGCCATTTAAGAGTATATATTAACATCCTTTTAGTTTAATAGCATGTAAAAATGCTTTATTTTTCTTACATTGTAATAAATTTAAAAAGCTGAACAAATTTAAAAGAACTGTAGCTCAGAGTTATAATATGTAACGGGGTAGCCTGAGTTAGAACCCGGTACTGGCACCACTGGACATCTTTATTGCAATTTTAAATTCAGACTTTACTCATTTATCCTCTTACGTATTAATGTAATCACGGGATAAAAACTACATATCTCACATAGAAAGTATTGAGAACACCCGAAATTTGTCAACATGCACAAGAAAAATGTATGACATGGTGGAGGCCCTACTTTGCTGTGAAATATCATTAACAATACTTTAATTTTTTCATTATAAATAATAGCATTGAACGTTTATATGCTAACATTTGAAAAGCATCCCTCTTAAAACAAAACAGTTTTAATTCCGTGGTAACGAATATATTTCTAAAACGCGCACGGGGTAGACCATGATTTAAAGTGTTTAGACATATTTTACCTAGGCTTAACTATCATCATCATCCTTACAGCCCTTCACAAATCCACTTTTGAACATAGGCCTCCCCCAAGGATTGCCACAAAGCATGATTCCGAGCCACCAGCATTTATCGACTTCCTGCATGTCTTACCAGTTCGTCACTCCATCTATTGGGGGGTCGCCCTACACTTTGCCTACCGGTACGAGGCTTCAATTCGAGAACTTCACTTTCCCATTGGTTGTTGCTTCTTCGAACTATATGACCAGTCTATTGCCACTTCAGCTTATTAATCAGTTGGGCTATATTAGTTACTCTGGTTCTACTTGAGCATAGCCCTTTCCATAGCTCGTTGAGCGACATTGAGCTTCCTTATACTTCATCACTGGCAACACGCACTGGTTGTACAGTCTCGTTTTCAAGTTTTGAGATATACCTGACGAGAAGATTTGTCGTAATGTCCCGAATGCTGCCCAGCCCAGAAGCTGCCCTATAATTGTGACTTTTACTGTCATCGTCATCACCATTATCGTCGTACTTAATCCACAAATACGCTGTTACTGTTAGCGCTTCTCAACGAATCTCCTAATCATAGTACTAATCGTAGATATTGCAACTATATCTCTTCATCATTGTTATTTTCCAGTACCCGTGTTGCATCTCATAATAAAAAACACATTGCATTCTTTCACGTGAAAATATTTCATCTCGTTCAACTTTAACATGAAAAATAAAACGACACCGTCTAATGGTACGTTATGTGGCTAACGCAGGTGTTGCCCGAACGATGTTTCTCGTAGCTAAAAATGTGAATTTATTCGCTCACCCCACGGGCGGCAATGATCGCTAGGCTCACACCTAAATTAGGGGTCCACTCCCGTCGCTAGCAATAAACAAACTCTACTATAAATATCACTGGCCTTTTTTTCTGTTAACTGCTTTTTAAATTATCTATCTCGCTCTATGAACATGAAGTTTTTTAAAATTTTTTGTTCTGAAGACCTTATTCTATAAACAAAAAGAACAAGAAATTGACCATAAGACACTCTTCGTATATGCATTATGTATATTCGTGTTGTAGATAATTATCATACAAATATTTGTTCTTCATTTTCTTAACATTTTTACACAATATCATAAAATGTTGCCGATGAGATAGATACTAAAATTTTGCTAAAAAGTAATGCGTCAAATCTCTTACTTAAAGTATTTTCCAAAACGTTGTACGTGATAAAATACTTGCGGTGCACCTGAGACGAACCTCTACTAAACTCTTGAGGACTTACCTGTTTTAAGCGTCCCCACGTTGGGTGCCAATTTCGTCTTGTTAGAGCGTGCTCGTAAACTGGATATTAGTTGTGAACCAATCTCTTTTACTTTAATACTACAAAAATAAACTAAGTGCTTTCTTATGCGATATTACAAAAACACTGTACTAACGTTTTACCAAAATGAGTTTTAAGAACGATTTTGTAGTCAAAATTTTATATAAAATATAAAATAAACGACAAGAGTGCTCTGAAGCTGAAGTTGTTTTATTGAATTAATCTTTATGAAAGTAATTTTGTCCGCAGATTCATTTCAAGCTCTCATCCAATACCCTGACACTGTGTCGGCGCAAACGGCAAAGACGGTAAGTACACACGATTTTGGTTTTAATTTCACAAATTCTAGTAATAACCCGTAAACCAAAGTTCTTTTCGAAATAAACGGATACCACTACATCTGTACGGCACATACGGCTAACTAAGAAAATTTAACTCAATTTTGTGCGAACAAACTACTCTAGAGTTTTGTAAATATCGCAACAAAAAACATAAAAGTTGTACACATCGAATATAAATTCGTGAGCACAATACGTGATATAGTGTAGTGCTTACAAACATGCAACCATTTACGTGCATTTAATAACAATAATATCGGTAAACAACAGTCGTGCGCTGTAAGTCCTCGACAATGGCCTGCGCCCAACTCGTCCAGTGGGACATCATTTTTCTCAGCTCAACTTTTCCCATTCGCTATTCATTTGCGTTAGAAGTTGGCCGTAGAGCAACCTAACAGCGACTGTTTTAACTTTATTTCTGATGCAGCGTTCAGAGCAAATTAAATTTCGTTTTACGGGCTTCGCATACTCGCTTAGCGAGTGTAATGTATAATTATTACGATTTTGATATTTTTTGGTAACCAACTGTTATTAATCCCTGTTTATAATTTCAGCCAGAAAAATTTTAACTTCCACAAATATAACTTTCATTTTATATAATTTTATCAAGTGCTAATATTTATAGTTTTATAATATTATCTACTCTTCATTTTTAACCGTGTGACTAAGGGTAAGGGACGGCTAAGGGTATGTCAGCAAGATCTCATCTCCTTGTGCTGCGATCTCCAATCCGTCTGGCAAGCGTGACGTTTATAGCAAATCCTTCTTACGAAACTAAGGATTAGAGAATCCAAAGTAATTGAGTAATGTTAGTAAACACTAATCCTATACCTTTAAACGAGCAATTCTTGTATATATATATATATATATATATAAGGTAAAGTATATATATATATATATATATATATATATATATATATATATATATATATATATATATATATATATATATATATATATATATATATATATATATATATATATATATATATATATATATATATATATATATATATATATATATATATATATATATATATATATATATATATATATATATATATATATATATATATATATATATATATATATATATATATATATAATATATATATATATATATATATATATATATATATATATATATATATAATATAAGTATATAATATAAAATATATATATATATATAAAAGGTAAAGATATATATATATATATATATATATATATATATATATATATACTTAAATGGGATATCGGACGATTACGAGATCTTAGTACCCCGGATCGAGTCCTGTCTTCAGTCCGACTTTTTTTCATATTTTTTCAAGTTGCCTTCTTTTTTGAGAAAATCTATTATTTTGAGCCCTTTTTTAGTATTTTTTTAAAAACACGGAAATTTAAATTAAACTAATTGCACTCATGATTTTTTATTCATTTTTTCTATTATGTCGGTAAGATCAAAAAATATTATTTATATTTCATCAGTATGTAAAAAATGTAATTTCCAAAACAAACGATTTAAAAATAAATACCGAGCAAAGCTCGGTCAACCAGGTACTAGCCTGATTAAAAAGACTAATTATAATTATCTTTAACCACTATTATCAATATGTATGTAGACAATGCTGACTAGACGATCTTACCAATTATTTATTTATGTGATCGCAGGTGATAATACAATTTTTAAGCTCATGCTTTCTAATTTATAACACTAAATTTATACTTAATGTACTTTAAAGACCGTTATGTGTTTAAGAAGATTATGTGTAAACCGCGCACGTTAAATTGTTGATCTATGTAAACCAAAATTATTTAAACGCTTAACTTAGTATCACTTTCATTTAGCTACTTTTAGAAGTAAGCCTGATATTAATTATCAAACATGGCACAAAATGGCGACCAGCTTATAACTTGGCGAACAGATTAATACGTGCGGGCGGGGAAACCTCTCGTGAAATTGAGATATCACCGGGAAAGTAGAGTGGTGAAAACTTATCAACGCTATGTCCCATCTAGTAGGCAGACATGATTGGAATGATATGTACTTGCGTAATAGGGCATAACTACTGAAATTGTGAAACATTGTTACGGGCTCTAAGTAGAATTTATTTTTACATGCGCTCAGCGCTAATAATTCGAAGATGTATATTATACGTCTTAATCTCTGCACAAGGACAGACATCCAGACTCGTAAAAATTATTAATACTATGTACAAAAAATCTAATGTGCGGGATTCGAACCCGCGGTCTTTACCGTCGCAACTGCATGCTAAGCTTCTGCACCACGAAGCCGTCAAAAAGAAATAGCCATATCAATTGGATATTTTATCATGATATCAACAAAACTTGTTTATGATATTAATACAGGACCTTCAATCCAACAGTTCGATACTAATAAGCTACACGGTCGTCATTATTTTATACCAGTACATGATTTATAATGTAAATGGATTAACAGTCCTACTAGAGAGATTGTGAAAGTAATAAGTCTGATACTCGTTAACGGATCTAACGTCGAGTCGTAACATCACTTTTCTGATCTAAGCTAACGAGCAGAAAATGTCGGCACTCGTATGTCCGCCTGATAACCTGATTTATAACATTATAGAACAAAGATATGAATACATTTACTTAGTCTTAGCAACATATAACAGCATATTCTTGGTATCTAGGTTATTTAATAATAGTGAGGGAAATTGAAAAATTACTAATGTGAGGCTATATATAGTTACATATGTCCAATATCATCAATTAACCCCACTATATCTCTATAATCACACAAATAACGGACAGTAAATTTAGAAATAAAGTCCAACTAAAAAAGAAAAAAGTCGTTGTCATTCAGGAAGAAATGTAAGCTATTCTAGGTCTACCCACACCTTCTGAGAAAGGTTTAAGATTCAATTAAAATAACATTAAATTCCCAACCTTTTGTGTCTTTTACAGCACCCATAACCTCTAGAAGTCTGAGGGGTTCAACATCCTGATGTCATAGTTGACCAGGACTGTCTTCAGCTATTGAATATTATTTTTGGTCCGATCTCTACGCAAAACGATTTTGCAGTATCTTAAATTATTGCAGTGGTATACTTGGGTTTTGATTTAACTTTATTAACTATGGTATCTTATGCAAGCGGTAGCTAGTACTAGTGCTATAGGTTTAAAGTAATTTATTTCATGGGTCGAAAAAGTTATGACCACAATATATGAGATCGTAGTTAGGATATTACGATTGAGCACACTCTTTTCTTGTGTCATCTTCATCTATATCTAGAACACATTAATAAAGCTCGTGTAAAATGTTCCTTCCTGTCGTTAATTTATTTTATGCATATAAAAAATATTTTCAAAGTTGCTTAAAAATATAAAGTTTAAAAAGGTATTTTTTACTTACTTTTGTAAACGAAATACCTGACTACTAATCGGAGAAACTAATTTCGGCTAAAAGCCTTTACGATACCCGGTGAATGCGAGCTGATACTCAGGTTTCGGTCTAACCGCGGATTTTTCTCGGGCTGTAATTGAAATGTCCCACAAGGTAAGTGGCAGCAGAAGTAAGTGGTAAAAAGTGAAGTGAAGCCGGATAGTGCTTCAGTCACAAAGGGCAGAGTCGGATGTTGGAGCGCTGAAATCCCCCGATCCCCGACTCTATGATCCTTGACATAAATCTCTAACCTCGCCATCAAATCTTTTCCGAGGGCGGCTTATGTGCGTAGACACGAAATGTAAGCTCTTAATGTGCTCAATTCTTGTAAACCACATTGTACATTTTCCCTAAAACATGTTAGTGGCCAAGTGCGGACAGTAGCTTTTTTCTTTTAACAATAAATTATAAATGTTATTTGAGTACACTCAACTTGAAACGTATTTTTATTTAAATATGCTACGTTCTTACGATATCACATTTTTGGAAAAGTATAACCTATACATATTACGTTCACGTTTGTTTTAGTGATAGTTCAGTAGAGAGTGTACTCTTTTTACATAAGTAAATAATAATTTTAAGTGGGTACACAACTTAAGTAATCAGTTCTTTTTTGTATTTTCAATCTTCTCGTCACCGTTCTTGTGTCACCGATTCCTGTTTAATAAAACTCTAAATATCCCAACTTTCAGTGAGGCAATGCGGTGCACTCTGGCCTGCCCTAAAAACTCATCAATGGTACAATTATACACAGTACTTGTGTACGTATGGTGCGTTGTAGAGCTACGCTACATCTTTTGTAGCTGCAACAAGAATGGATCGACTCAACCGGGAAAGGACCACGCTCTCACAGAACAGTTAAACGTTTATATACGTTACTGAATTTTAATGCTTTTTGCATCCGAACACTGTAACGTTCTTATTTTATACTATTAAATACAATTTTACGTAATTGACTTTCCTGTAATTGTAATTGCCTGAAATTCGTACTATGTAGTTTGAACTTTGATATTTCCATTTCAACATGGAATTCGAAATTCAATTTACTGCCATATTAAATGAGTTACGAGAACGAGAACGTTTTTCGAGTAAAACCATTTAAAATAAAAACATAAAACAGGCATATCGAATAGACTTGTGTTATATGAGTAGATATCTAAACAATTCCATACCCCTAACTTGCCCCAGATTTAAAAACGCAACGTGGCTCTGATTGATTTAGCGAAATAAAATATTAAACACTCACCTTTTCTGGCGCTTTTTAATATAGTAAAAGCCGGGGTTAAATTTTATAGACCCGAGGTGCGGGCTTTTGTTTACATTTTAAAATTGCACTTTGCGATGCAGCCACGTCTAAGCGCGACCTTTTCCATAACGCCGAGACACGTTCAAACAATGTGACTGTCGAAAATATGACAGCGACGCTTTATAATATATACTACGTAATGCGTTTCTGCATAAAGTTTTAATATTTTAAAAATTTGCTGGAGTTTCTTTATTATTACTCTGATACAATGTTTTTAATAAATTGTTTACCTTAATTGCA